CTTCTCGGTGTAGCCTTTTGCGACGATTCGGCTTCGTACTCCTGGTCCTTTCTTTCTGTGTACCCATCTTGTAGGTATCGCTTCTCTGATGACGTTGTCGTTGACGGTAGACGCATCTACTTCGTCGTAGACGTCGTGTAGTTTCATTTGGTTTGACTCGTGTTTCATTCCTTCCAGTAGTTGTGTTTCGTCGTAACCTTCGTTGTCGAAGATTATGGGTTGGTCTTCTGAGGTGTCGTCGTTTGTGTAGGGAGTGATGGATTTTCCGTTGGGAAGTGTCACTGCGTTGATTTTCTGTCGTAGTGGTGGTGGTTCTTTGGTTGCTTGTTCCGTTGATCTGATTGTAGTGTCCTTTGAGGTCTTCTGTGCTTTAGTTGGTTGCATTACTTCTTCCGGAGTTAAACGTCGTAGTGTTTGTCGAGGTGGTGCTGGTAGTGGTGGATGTTGTCGTCCAGTTGGTGAAGTAGCCATAGGACTATCCGGTAGTGGTCGTGAACTTGACGTCGATGTGGACGGAAGTCGTGGAGGTGGTGTAGTGCGTTGTTGTTTTGTTGCGGGTTCTGCAACGATGTCGTCCGTCGCATTCGTTTGTTGTCCGAAGTCTTGCGTGGACCTTCTTTTCTCTGACGGTTGTAGTTGCGTATCCAACAGTGTTGCGAACGATGGGTTGTAGGTGTTCCGTCGTGGTGCCCATGGTGTGCCGGAGACTTTGTTCAACAGTGCGAGGTCGTATTTGAAGTCCGGTTGTAGTCTCCGTACTGTTCGTACCTTTTGTACGCCTGATTCCGTTGCGACGTAGTTTTCTCCGGTTTCGGAAACTTTTCCGAGCCAGATGCATTTCTGCATCCGTAGGTCTGCTTTTGGAAGTTTCTTGTGTTGTGGTGGAAGGTAAAGTAGTGTCTCGCCAAATTCGCAGATTGCTCGCTCGTAGTTTCTTCCCCAGCGGCGTTCAAAGCTTGTGTAGCCGTCTGAGTGAATGACGTAGCGATTTACCGTCCATGCTGCATGTCGTACTATCCAAGGTAGTAGACAGTGCTTTGTGGACATCGTCATGCTGTAGTTGCTTTCAACCTGAGCTTTGACGACGCGGATTTGTCCGAGAAGTGTTCTATGTAGTCGCTCAACGCTTCCTTGACTGTTGCTGCTGTAGGAAGGTGAATGTCGTACACTCATTGTGCCGACTTTTGCTGCTGTAGCTTTTAGAAGTGCGTTGAGTGTGTCTTCGTTGTCGCTTTGTAGTATGCCTTGTGTTCTTCCGCACTCAAAGATGAATGCTTGTAGGTTGTTGACCATGTAGTCCATCATTGATGCTTTGTCTGGAACCAATACTGCCATACACAGTTGTGTAGTAACATCAACTGCTGTCAGTACCGGTGTGGTCTTTGGGTCTTGTTGTGACTTGATGTAGGCAAAGTCTACTTGAATGACAGGTTGTCGTGATTGTTGTTTCTTGTAGTTGTCTTGGCGTCCTTTGCCTTGAACGCAAATTGGACACCAGTTTCTGTATGGTAGATGTGTAAGGTTGTGTTCTGCTATTTGTTGTGGAGTGGGCTGCTGTGGTTGTCGTAGTCCTCTTGCTCTGTGTGCTTCATGATGCTCGTGTTGTTGTTCTTCATCGTGGTTCTCCTGGATGTACTCGTAGTCTTTCTTCACGGTAAACCTTGTTGTTCCTTTCCATTGAAATGGTAGTGCTGCGTTGCCCATGACTGTCCAGTCATCTTTGCGTTGTGAAACTTCTCCAAAGTTGTTGTGAGTGATTGTAGTTCTGTGAGGTTCAAGTGTGTTGATTGGTGGATGTCCTGGTCCATCTGTTGGAGTGAAGAGAGTTGTTCTAAGCGTTGTGTGGTGTCGTATCCAGTGTTCACCTTGTCTTTCCCAGTAGTCTTGGTTGTCCTCCTGTGCTGTGAGTGGTCTGTGTATTGTCTCCTTTGGTTGTGTGGTGTCAAGATTTGTAGAAGGTGCTGCTTTAGGTCTCCATATCTTTTGTGGTGCTCGTAGTTGGATCTTTGATCTGGTTGGTGGTGTGTCCATTAGCCGTTGTGGTTGTGAGCTCTGCCTTGTTGGTGTGGTCTTTGATGTTGCTCTGCGTGTAGGTGTTATCTTTCTTCTGAATCTGGTTTCTCCAGTCCAGTTGTCACCTTCTAGTCTTCGTTGTAGTTCTTGCTTGGAAAGTTGTGTTGGGTTCTCTTGTAGTTGTTCTTGCTCTTGCCCTTGTCTGTTGATGATGGTTAGTCTCCAATCATCTAGTTCTCCTTCTGGTATTGGGCAGCCACTGTTGTGTGGTGTGAACAGTGCTTTGCGTGGTCGTTTGTGTACTCTGATGGCGTAGTCACCATCAAGTTTCCAGTAGTCAGTGTTTCCACCAAGGATCTGTCGTAGTCCTTGGTCTGTGTGTGTGAGTGGTGCGATTTGTTCTTGTTGTTGTGCTGCTCTCTCTGTAGGTTGAATCACAGCAATGGATTTTCCATTGTCTGTAGTCATTGGGTAGATGTCGAATCCTGTAGGAATGTCGATCTTCTCTGCTCGTAGGTAGAAAAGTCCTGAGTGTCTTATGAGGTGTGCTTGTTGTTGTCCATGTGTGATGGTGCAGTGTCGTGGAGTGAAGTCAAGTCCATATCCTCTATCAAGTAGCCTTGATGCGCTGAGGATTGGATACTTCACATCACAAACGTAGTAGGGTATCATGATCCTGAATTTGTCCTGCTTGTAGGGAACGTACTTGATGCCGTAGACTGGAATCTTCTTGTTGGTCACCGTGTAGAGTTGTGGAACTGATTCTCCACAGGGTCGTAGTGGAAGATCCGGTGCGTAGTCCTTTGGGCAAACATGTGTAGATGCTCCTGAGTCGATCAACAGGTGGTGGTATGACTTGAAGTTGGAGTACATGATGTAGTGGGTGATAGTGTCCTCAATCTTCTTGTTCCTTTGTTGTTGTCTTGCTGCTGCTATGTCGAAGTGTAGCTTTGTGGTGTCTTCTTGTAGGAATTGTTGAAAGCTCTTGCTGTGGTCGTTCCATGATGTTGTGTGTGTGTTGTTCTCTTGCCAAGTAGTGATTTGGATTTGTGCTGGTGTAGTCGTGATTTTGCTTGTCTGATGTATCCAATGGTGAGGTGTGACTCGTTGATGCCTCCAATGTAGTTCGCTGTGTCCTCATAGCTGTTGTCATTCCAATCCCAGCTGTTGTCATAGTCGTAGTCGTTCCAGTTCTCCTCCATGTAGTTCACCTCATGTTGTCCTTCTTCTCCTTCGTAGTACCAGTCCCAAGTGTCGTTCACATCCTGAGGTAGTTCATCATTGTTGTCGTGATCTGCTTGTTCTTGTTCTAGTGGATGTAGTTCTTCTCCTTCTCCTATGTGCCATACCGGCACTCTGCAGTCTTGTGCCCAGTGGCCGGGCTTGCCACATCGATGGCATGTTGTGTAGTTGTTGCTTCCTTTTCCTTTTGATTTGCTGTAGTTTCCTTGGCCTTTGTAGCCTTTGCTTGATCCATATCCTTTGGATCCTGAGTAGCCTTTTCCTTTGCTCTTGTTGTATCCTCCTTTGTTGTAGTTTCCTTTGCTGCCTTTGTCGAATCCTTTGTAGTGTCCTTTACTCCTGTACTTGCCTTTGCTCTTGCTTCCTTTGTAGCCGCCTTTTCCTTTTCCTTTGCCTTTGTAGCTTCTTCCTTTCCTCCATATGTTGTCAACATCCATTGGTGCAGTTCCTCCATTGTAGTTTGTTCCTACTGCTGAAGTAGATCTAGTGAAGGCTGAAATCGTTTTGTAGTAGTCCAGGATGAGTGCTCTGATCTCGATGTAGTTCGTGATCTGTCCAGCTCGCAGTTGGAGGTGTTGCTGCAGTGCTCCTTTGGTTTTGTTGAGTAGTATTGCTATTTTGATTCCATCTGGTAGTGCTGTTCCATTGTCTTTCTCGTAGCGGTTGATGTCGTATTCCCATTGTAGAAATTGTTCTTCAAAATGCGCTTCGTTGAATGTGGGTTCCAGTAGTTTGGTAAGGTAACCAACGCTCCTTGTTCCTACTGGTAGGCTGAACCTGTTGCGCAGTAGTCGTAGTGTTTCACATCCGTTTGCGCTAGTTGTAGCACCAGGTCGAAGTCTCGGTCTATGAGGCCGAGGTATGCTTGTAGCTTGAACAGCCATTCTTCATACTGGGAGTAGTCACCAGTGGAGAAGGGTGGTGGCAGTTTGTATCTATGTAGTCTCTGAACATCGTTGTCTTGTTCTGTTCCTGCTCCCGTAGTCGTGGCTCCTACTGTGTCTGCTGTTGGCCCCTTCTCTGCTCCTGTAGTTTGTTGTGCTGAGGCTGATGCTGCTTCTCCTGACATGTCGTAGTAGTTTGGCATGTAGCTGCTGTTGCTCTGTTGTTGTAGTACTTACCGCTTACTGGAGCTCCCCTATGTTTAGGATCTCAGCTCCGCTACCACGTTAAAATCGGTGGTTACTTTGCTTACAAGTGCAAGTGCTGTAGTGTTCAATCAAACAGTCAACCAATGTAGTCTGCAGCTGCCAACCTTTTGACTCATGCGGCGTAGTAAGCTCAAGGCCTGCGGTAGTGAACATACATGCAACAAGAGTGCAAAGTGAAGCATGTAGTTTGACATTTTTCCTCACGCTCTCTCTCTCTCTCTCTCTCTCTCTCTCCCTCTCTCTCTTTCTCTCGCCTTATGGAAATAGAAAAATGTATGTACATGTTCTCTCTTTCTCTACATGTATGTGTACATACATGCATATACACAAGTACATATGAAAGATACGTACACATGGTTTTTTTCTCCCTGTCCCTGTCTCTCCCTCTCTCTGGACATGGCGTGGGATGTGGGATAGTTTAATTGCTCTGCTTCTACAGGGCTCCTTCTGTGTCTCTTTTCTTCCGGGATTAAAACATCACCTTTCTTGCTTCCAAAGATTCGCCTTCGTTTGACGGGCGACTTTGAAAGGGGAAATCAGACGGGACTGCCGTTTGGGGTGGGCAACATGTCGGAGATGTGCGTCGCCCATCAGGATGCCCGGACAGCTGGTTCCGGCTCACGGGCGTCAGCGCCTACGGCAAGTCCTGCCAGGCGAGGAATGGGTTGGGGGAAGGTCCCAACCCAAGTGTGAGGCGGGGCGGCCTTTGCTATTTCTTGTTGTTGGTGTATCTTCCCTGTATATAAGGAAAACCTGGAACAGTCATCAGAACCGGAAGAGACTGTCCAATGTGTTTGGAATCGGCCTTCAGTTTCCCATTTGCTCTCTGATGTTCACCGGACCCTAATGAGCTTCGGCCCTTGACTTTATACACTACTGAACCTAAAAACAAACAGCGCATAGGTGTCCTTTTTGTTTGGTTTGCTTAAAAAATCGAGGGCCCTGGTTTAGGGGTTGATTCCATCCAGGGCCATCTATTTTTCCAGAAGGCCTATGGCACCCACCCAATGTTGTGCGCTAGGCCTCGGATAGCAATTTCCTTCATGGCGATGTGTCTGGGAAACCAGCGATGCCTCGCGAAAGCAAACGCGAAGGAATTGTTTGGCTAAAGATTTAGCTTCGCGAAAGCTATTTTGCTAGCTAAGGCGCCAGTTGGCTAACTATATTCAATTTAAACTTGAAGATTTAACTTCCTGAAAAGCATTAAGATGCTTTGCGGACCAACGTCGAACCTTATGACCAAGCCACGTTTGGTATTGAGTGCTTTTGCTTTGCTCCGGGCCTATTTTTCTAATTGTGCCACGGGTCTTTGGGTGGACCCGGAGGTTTTAGTTGTCACGATTCAGCTGGCCCCAGAACGGGGGAGGGGGTCCCTTAGCGTGGATTCCTCTCTTCCATGAGGCTGACGATAATGATTGAGGGACTCATCATGTGAGTTTCTGGACTTTGTGCTTTTGAGAAGATCATTTACCTTGGCAAACCACAAGTTTGGACCTTTTTTTTGCGGGCCGTTCCACTCAGGAAGTGGGTCAAGTGTCACGTTAATTATGCTGCATTGCATCATCATGTGATGAAAGAGGTATTCCGAAGCAATGCTCAAGCTTCACACCCTTGTTTTGGGAGCTTTAGCCTGCACCTTTTGGGTCACACGCAAAAGTTTCTTCTCCTGCCAGTTAAACTCACGCAAAAGTTTCTTCTCCTGCCAGTTAAACGTTTGCAGTGCGGAGCAATAGGCACCAAGCAACCCCCACCACCGATCGCATCCCCCGCATGAAAAATGCAATCTATGTTCAGAGGGATCTCCTTTTCAGAATCGAAAGGCACTGGCGCCGCCTTTTGCCGCCTTTTCAAGGGTACCGCAGTCCCCCCCCCTCCCCCTCCAGTTTGACAGGCCCCCCCCCAACATTCATAAAGGTATATGTGGGGTGTCCATTTTAGGAGTTGGTACTCCTCCTTTGTGGTTTTAAAGGGAACCCCCCCCCCTTTCCCCGGGCCCCCCCCGGCCGAAGGAAACCCGCGCGCCATTTTAGCGAGTCCCCGAAAGCAAAAAGAAAAACCTGGCTTCTGCAGGCTTGCCCGCGCCAAGTGCTGGACACCGACGAGTCGGAGCGCCACTACCACTCTGTGTACAGCGCTTCGGAAAGCACAAGCACGGGCTCCAGGGGAGGTGCGTGGATGTTTTGAAGATGTTTGTGTTGGTTGTTGGTTGTTTGTATTGTTATTAGTTGTTTGTTGTTCCCTGCTATAGATTGTTTGTTGTACTGGGGCTGATGTCCATTGTATGAACCTAACACCGAGGTGACTTTGGCCATGTGGAAATATTGCCGAATCTTGTGCGAGCAGAGGCTTTCCATTCTCAAACCACAACCTCCAAGCGGGTACTCGGCATGCACAACAGCAGAAGACATGCCGTCTATTTGATGTTGAGCAATGCAATTGCAATCCTTGTGTTGCTTGCTCTTGATCCTCAAGAGGAGATACTTTGCAACGTTGACTTTCTTCGGGCCGTTGTGTTCTTCTTGAGAATGCACTATTTCCGCCCATGTTGGCATGCAATTCGACCTTGACAACCGGAGATTGACAGTGTATTTTGGCCATTTGAGCCACGATCAACTTTCATTGCGCGCCCAACCGAATAGCTCCGTTTATCAGAGGCAGTTTGGATGCGTTACTCAATGGCTTTCCTGTGGCAAAAGAAGACAGTATTTTTTCCAGTCGTTTGGTTCTTTGAACGATTGTCTCACTCCCTGAGTTCCTGGACTTTATGCTGGTAGACCATTTGAGGGTTAAACAAACGATATGCACTCAGAAAGTGCGTTGAGTGATGATTCTTGGCGTTGGCTTCGTGCAGTATCTTTGTAGGTTGCCGTCATGCTGAGTTGAGCGAGCAGTTCAGCTCCATGTTTCAGGTTGCGTGGGCCACATGTTTGCTTAGGAGCAGCTTGTTGACACCCAGTATGTGTTGGGCGCTTGTTTGAACACCATGTTCAACCACCCTTTGGAATTGTCTTGAACATGCACTTTGAAGAGACGTTCGGAACCTCGGCCGAACGCGACGCCTGTTTTTTCAAGAAGCCACTTACGTTACAGGGAGCCCCGAACTTTGTTGGGGGGTTGGATGAAATTCCCAACTCCGTATTGCCGCATCGTTCTGCATAAGGATTCTCATGTTGAGTTCCATGGTGGAGTTTGTGCGGGCGACATCGCTCTGCATGATATGCATAGAGAAGCGTACATGCTTATGCTGGTTTCCAAAGCCTGCGTTCATTGCTCAGACCTGGGTGGTGCTTGTGTTGTCTTGAATATTTACGCAAAGTAGAACAACTGCATGCCGCTTTCCACGGGAGATTATGTTGGGTGGAGTTTCGAGGTACTTGGGGGCACTGTTTTCTCTACATGCACCCAGTGTGTAACAGACTGCAGCAGCAAGTGGCAAATTATACAGAATCCAGTGGTCTAGGGTTCCCTATCTTCATCACTTTCAAGACAGTGTGAGGAAAAAACATGGGGGAGAAATACAGAGAAACCTGGGACCAACTTTGTTCTTCTGGGTTTTCCTTTTTGACCCCCTGAAGGAAATATTGAGACCACCCATGGGCATGTCCATTTTCCGCATGTCCCATGTCGATTGTTTGCTTGCTCTAAGTGTCTTCTTTTTAGTCTCGGTGTTGGTCATGTCCGCGCCAAGATAACGACAAGAAGGGCTTCGGCTCCTCAGCTGAAGGGGTCAAGTGGAAAGCCGATCCAGTTTCCGTCCCATGAAGGAGCTCTGACGGATGTGTGGGACAACATCTTGTATTGTGCACCACCGGGTATGCCCCACAGCAACGACTGCATGGGAGTTGTTTACATCTCGTGAACGGTAGTTTCTGCAGGACAAAGACACGCGCACACACACACACACATATGCAGGTTTCTTATTGTTTCTGCAACACAAGCGTTAGTTTGCGATGTATCTCATCTCTGCGTTGATTTATCTTCTTGGCATCAGAGATTGCAGGGAAGTAGCCACTCGAGAACGACCCTGAGATGCCATTTCTGTTTTTTTCCATGGCGCAATTCACCTGGATTCCTCCTTTCCGAAACTGAGCTCAACATAGGCTGGCCTACTTAGAAATGAGGTGCCTCACTTCTTGGCTGTCCAGCTGGGACATATGTCATCATGTTCTGTGATTCAGGGTCAGGGTTGGGCTGTTTGTTCATGTAAATGTGCTTCAGGTGCAAGTTGCGATGATGACTCTTCTTTCAGGCCATGACTTGAGCATCGGTTTGCTGTATTTGAGTGGAAAGCTCAAGGGCTTTTCCAGGTTTGGGTTTTGGAGGTATGGAAGCCTATGTACCCAGTATATGCCCCTTGTATAAGTGGTGCATAACCTCCATACCTCCAAAACCCAAGGTAAGACTCGATGAAGCTGGCCTTTCTTGTGGACAGACGCACGAAACTTGCTAAACCCTCTTTATTGTTCGGAAACCTGGAGGCTCCCGTTTGGCTTCCAAGGAGTTCATCAGTCGATCCTAACTGTTCCGTTTAGCGCATTCATCCCATCCCCCCCTGCATCATCCTGCTATTCGTGTCATCTTGCCCGTGTCATCACGATGCCACGCCTCGGCATGACGCTGCCGTCGTGATGAAGGGCACTGTGATTCTGCTTGCATCGGGTCATCCCGCATGCTGTTTGCATACTCCCCAGATTAAGATAAAACCCTATAAACCATCATGTTCAGAAGAATCTGAGTTTGGGTGACCCCTGCAACTTCATGGCGCTTGCAGTTCATTTGAGCTAATTTCAGCATGTCACTAGCTGCATCATTTGCTGTACTCTTGATACTGCCTAGATATTCCATGATATTCCGAAGCCAGCACTGTCATGCAGTTTCCGCACACGTTGCTCATCATGCTCTATGGCAGATGTGTTGTCACAACTGAGTGAACAGCTGAGGGTTTACGCAGGCCTGGTTGCTGGGACGGGACTGGGCTCTCGCATCAAGATTGGTCGCTTGTCAGGCGACGCAGAGAGTTACACTGGGAGAAGTGCCTTTGTTTGGGATTCTACGCTTCCGCCCAAGGAAATGGTCGTGATTCACCCGCCTTTTTGTCAGCGATCCACGTGTTTTTGCTCCTACAACTGGACATGGACATACCTCACCTACAAGCCGTATATGTGTTTGTATCCAAATAGGGCGAACACCAACATGGGTGGTCTCCCTTTTCAACGTTCAAGCCATCCCACAAATGCTATCGTCAAAAAAGACTCCACCACACAAGGAGGCCTTTGGGGTGTATATCCTCCCAGAAACGAACTTTTGGAAGAATCTTCTCTGGGGGAGTTTCTTTTGGTTCCTTCTGTTCATTTGTAGGTTCCTTGTTGGCAGATTTGGGGGATTTCCGTTTGCTGCAGATGGTTGGTCCCTTGTTTGTTTCGAGTGCGGTCCTGGTTTTGTGCTCCGTCCTTTCCTTTGCGGATTCAAGGCCATGCCCAGTCGCGGCTGGACTCACCGGCCGCCTGGAGCTGCAAAAGCAACCGCGCCTCGCCGGCTCGGAGCGCGGAAGCAGAGGTTTCGCTTGGTGACCTAGGTCCCCCAGTAGTGCCCTTTCTCACCCCCTTCTTGGTTGGGAGGGTTCCCCTACTAAAATAGACTACAGAAAAAAAGGGTACGAACTTATTCTATCCTCTCTACAGGCCTTTACATGGAGCCGTTCGAGGTTCTTTTGGGGGTGTTGGTTTGCATTTTCCTTTGAAAGGGACCGGAGAGCCCGAAGGTCGAGGGGTTTCACGTAAAGCTGGGAGGGTAAAGATGGCACTGGTTGAGATGAGTCTTATGCCCCTACCAGGGAGATCCATCTATTTTTCCAAAAGGATACCTATGCGCGGAAGCAGGCAACTCGGTGGACCGGAGCTGGTGGTAGTCAGTCAGTCTGGCAAAGTATAGCGAGCTCCTCATTCTTTCAGGGGTAAAACAAATAAAAGGCGCGGCAAGACGAGCAATTTCCCCTGTTGGGGGTAGTACGAGCGATTACCCCCAAACATCGGTTGGTTTCCTTTTGGGTTTCCCTCTACATCCTTTCAATCTTTCAAGGCAGCCTGATTTTGTGGGCTCAGATCTGAGCCATCGAGCTTCCTCTGTGAGGGTCGACTCACTCCAGCGAGGATCGAAGAGTTTTCGACGCAACGGCAAGACAAGCTTCAGGACGTGGAACTTCTTTCTCAAATCTTTCTGAGCGTGGAGAAGTGAAGGTCGCCCTAATCCTGTCATGCTCAAAATTGGAGAACGACCCCCTTTGGGATGGCTGTGAAGCAAAGACCAGGAAACAATTGAATTTCTGAGGTGCAAGTTTCCGTCTTGGGCACATGCCGGATTCAGGGCCTTTCGGCAAATCCCGCGCGGCCACCTTTCTTTTGGTTCAGCATGTTTGTCTCAAAATGGGAAGCCGAAGCAGATTTGGAAGGGCGCTAGTTCTTGGATGTTGGATACTTGAAGCTTATGCAAAGCAGTCGCCTGGCTTAACGTTTGGGCAGTGAGGAATTGAACCTCAAAGGGCGGGCAGGTGGTGCGCGTTCCTTTTTCAGGGGGCAGGGGGTTGAGAGAGCCGTTGGGCGAAGTTTGTTTGACCACCACGCGCTGATTTCCTTTTCAAGGACGAGAATAACCACCATTCTTTACATGGTTTCGGGTATACCCTTACCAGGTCAATGATTGTGACTCACCAGAAAGGTATTAAAATAACCATGGTTCATGTTCAAAGAGTCTTGTCTTGCCTGGCGAGAGCGGCGGCACTTTGCCTCAGGCAAAGATGCTTGGATGTCCTTTGATCTTGGAGCCAAATACGCAGTTCAAGGCGAGGGGGGGATGTTTTTTTTCTTCCTCGAACGCCATGTCTGGCTCACAGATCTGTTTGTCGATCTGTATCCCTGGTCAAGTAAGGTGACTCGAAACAAACATAAGATTCTAAATTAGGTTGATTCTTCTTGAATCCTCCCCAACATAAAGCGTCTTGGATTAGGTGAGTTACTAGTTGCGTTCCCGATTTGGAGAAGGCTAACCTGCGGCTTAGGGTCTAACAAGGTTCTGGCCGCTGAAAAAGCCGGTTTGGGACCATCACCCCAAAAGGCAGCTCAAGCGAACTTGCTCCACAAGATGATGTCCAAAACGAGAGAACTGTCCATTACGCACCAAGGCGTCACTCCTCGAGCTTTTGCGGGGCCGCGCAAGACATAGCGGCATGAATCCCATTTTTTTGTGGCACCACCCAAGAGTCCCACAGACAACCACCCTCACAATCAGAGAAGTGCGGGGGAGTCCTTTCAAGAGGACTGGCGTCCACAAGACTCCTGGCATCCATGAAATTTGAACGGTGCACAACAATCGGGACCTGCCATGCGAGAATTACCGTATCAGCAAGGTGCAATTGGCGGCGCATTCGGTCCTCCAGTTAATCAGGGGGTCCAGGGGTTCCTGTGAATTGGTGGTTTCTAGGTCACCCTGGCATGATTTTCAGGTCGACGGTTTCAGTCGCAAGTGGTTATTCTGTTTAGGTCGAATGTGAGGATTTGGTTCAAGACGCATGTGAGTTCCATTGACGCGCAAGCAATTGAGGTGACCTGCGGCGTCGGGGCATTTTTGTGGGCATTTATGATGCTTATTGGGGGCTGGGAACGGTTGGCTGGGTTGCGGTTTTTGAGTCATCCGAGCATCCCCGGTGGCTATTTGCCACATAGAAAAAGGGCTCGTTTTAGAAACAACCTTGCCAACTCAGCAAATCAATTGTGCTTCGAGTTCTGTCTTTTCTGAGCATTGTTTCACCAGAAGGTTTTCGAGTCTGTCTTGCTTTCGGAAGATTGAAGAGAAGGATGGTTGAAAAGAAAGGACATCACCAGAGCTTCCTTGGTCGCTTGGGCATTTGGGACATGGGTTTGGAGTTGGCGCCTATTACTCCCCTTAACCCCAAAGGTTTCGACAACTCCGCTTTGGTTGGAGGTACTCATATCGATTCCCATGCGAGGCGTCATCACGAAAGGGCGCGGCAACATGGATCAATGGGTCACCAGCTACATAGTGCAGTACAGCTGCTCGGCGAAGTCAGGGCGAAACGCTTCGGCACGGTTCCTGTTCTTGGCTGGGTGTTTGTTTTGGGATTGTCTGAGTTTGGTTGTCGTGTCGTTAGACTTCGGCACGGTTCCTTTCACGCTTGTTGCTGATTTGACCCCCAATTGCTTCTTGGGGCCCATGCCGGGGCAATTCGGCGGCTCCGGCCATTTCTGAGAGTCCGCGACCTTCAGACACTCGGGCACCCGCATGCAGACGGGGTTGTTTGGCTGGCTTAGGCATCAGCTGTTGGTTGGAAATGCGCTTCCTTAGGGTTGGCTGAAGGGGATACCAGGTTTCATATTGGGTTGATGGGGCCTTGAAACACGTCACGAGTGCCCCAATTTGGGTTGGGCAAATGTTGTTCAAACTCGTCCACGTCCCCTTTAAATCTAAAGAGAAACCCACGGAAGGTCGCCCAGATTTAGACAAGGGGTCGTGATATGGGTGTGTGTCATTTTAGCCGTCCGCCAAACTGGCGGGGTTCCCGGCAGTTTCCCTTTAAAACCACAGAGCAAGGTGTTGTACCAACACAGAAAAGCCACCCATGTTTCTGAGCCAACTCGCAACGGGAGCGGGGGCATTGGAGGTAGGAGGTGACACCGCTTGCACTGGGGTTTCCAGCAAAGGTTCCTACGACCATGACAGTGCTTTGTTTTCTGGTTTCCTAGACTCGTCTTTTGGACAAAACGATGGCAACTGGGTAGATCAAAGTGTCTCCCCATATCAATCAAAAACTGATTCCCCACCAAATCCAGGGACACCCCTCTATTAGTACACTGGGGTTGGCCTACCATGCTTGGTTTCCACGAAATGAGCCACTCTGAATCTCGGCCCTTATGTGTCTAGCTGGTGGTTGGAAGGCCGCTGTCATGGAGCTGTGGGTATCCAAACTTGCTTTTGAGGAGGGAGCCTTGCGGAGCTACCGGGAGTTCTTTAAGGACATGGTCGTCTTGGTTTGCTTCTTTGACCCTGATCCCTGCTATGTACGCCCCGTCTTGGGAACCCTTGTTCCGTTTGGCTTCGTGGGAATCAAACGGCGAAAAGTGGCGGAGCCGGTGCCAGCTTCGGTTTTGAGGGAACGGCGCCGGGCAGTTGGCCCGAGGTTCCGACAACAAGAACTGGAAGAACGCGCCCGGTGCGGGGTCTCAGATGATTTTGCTCGCGTGAGCTCGGAAGCTTTCTGCAGGTGCCAAGTCTCGAATGAAAAAAAGTGGACGGTTCAAAAGGCGGTCCCTGAATTCTCCGGTTTGCAACCCTGCTCAAGTGGCAGTTTCATGGGAGCCTACCAGTAAGTTGCTTCCCTTTCGAAGGGAAGCTCCGCTGACCCCCTGAAAGGCGGTATTTCAACTTTACAAGCATCCATTTTTGCACCCAGCAATGCATTCTGAGGCCGTACGCTGCAAGAGAAGCACAGCTGTGCAAAGGTATGGGACTGTTTTCTCGGTGATCCGTGTTTTTTTCTTGTTTTCTTTTGTTTCCATTCTCCAACAAGCATGATGGGATTGTGGGGGCCGCAGGATTGTCACTGCACTGGGTTGCTGCGAACCTCGTAACTGCAACCAAGCCACAAGGCTAGATCGTTGATCTTGGGTTCTGTTGTCTTCCTTGTCCAAGGACCAGCTAGGTTTGGATTTGTGGCTTGGATCTGGATTTGAACCGCTGGTTCTTGTAGACGGTAGATGGGAAACACCACCACACCACCAATCCAAACCATCAAGTCGAGGGAAGCGTTTCGTCGTTGAAACACCGCACCACATTTTGCGGCAAGGGTGAGTCGACACGAGCGAGTCCTGGCGAGTTGCCATTCATTGGCACAGGGTTCTGCGGCCAGCCTCTTGCTTTGCTTTGTGACTTTGAGTAGCCTCCTTTACTACTGGGGCTTGATGTCACCTGGTCAAGTGGCTTTTTCGCTCAATGACGGCCGAGCAGTGTACGTAAACCTACCTTTCACACATGTGTGCAGGCCAGGAAGGCCTCGCATGGTATCACTGCGACGGAGGGTTGAGCGGTTTACGGGATGCCGCTCATAGACATCCACGAACATGTCCCAAATGCAGGGGCTGGATGCGTGATAAAGTCTATGCTTTGAGTCCCCTTCAGGGGGAGCCCACCCAAAGAAGCAAGACCGGTGGATCCTACTTGACAGAAGACCCTGCAGTGCTCCCTTGCTGCTTTCATGTCGACAGCGGATGCAGGCAACTGATGGATTTGCAGGCTTGGAGGTGTGTCCCATGTGTCAGATGACAACATAGGGCCCTCGATTTGGGGATGGTGACAAATCGAGGGCTGCCTTTCAAGGGCATGTAGAGAACGATCTCATTTTTTGCGATAGCTCGTGAAAGCTTCCTCCACTGGATCTCTTGGACTTGCTTGTGCAGAGAACTGGCCACTGAATCTTGCGCAGAGAACTTACCCAAAGAACTTTCAGGGAGACCTTGCTCAGAGAACTACAGTAGTATGCACAGAGAGCTTGTTGCACAGAGAGCTTTCGCCGTTGTGAAGAGAAGCTGCACTGAGAACTTTCTTAGAGTAAGCATTAAAGTAAGCATGAGAGACTCACACAACAACTTGCGCAGAGAAACTTGCACGTATAGGTTTGGGTTGCTTCTGCGAAAAAAGCTGCGAGGCCTCTTTGCTTTGTAGGCATACTCGTATCTACATCCAAGTACAGTTTGCTTTCGGGCCATCTGTCTTCTTGTAGACTATTTTGCATTGTCAGGTTCACTATCTATGGACCGGAATCAAACCTATCAACTTTGTTTGGGGGGGCAAAAGTTGAGCTTCAGAAGGGGGGCCGTCAATTGACAACCTGGTTATAGCAGCTGACAAGAGTCGCTCCGAGGCGGATATGGAGGGAACGTTGACCGGAACACGCAGCGCACGGCGGGGAGGGTTTCGCGATGATGGCTTTTGCAGCCACCGATCGGGTGCGTCTTAGCGATTTGGCGTGAAAGGGCTCAATCATGAACATGGTTCCGAGCCGTGAGGGGCAGCGACAAATAGGTGCCTCGTCTCCCGGCCATTTTGGTGCAACGCTGACAATACAAAACAGCATCCACGTCACCTACCGCCGGAACAGCTTGGTTCGTTCTGATTGCTGTGGTGCGTAGGCGAAAACCTGGACAGGGGCTCCCTTCAAAAGTATTCCGACCTTGCAACCTCGCACTGATGCAATTTCGGAAGAATGGCCTCTATGCTGGCCTTTCTCTGATTCATTCTCTAGGGCCAAAGCACATGCTCCGGGACTCCAGCATTCAGCAGACGCATAGGGGTATCTGAATATTTGTCCTTTTTCTATGCCTATCACTTGGGCTCTGTGTGAGTTTCCTGGGTGGGCCATTCCGTTTCCCCGCCAGGTCTCCTTCCTTCGCCCGGTGTCTGCACGCTATGTCAAGCCGCCTGGCATTGGAGAGCACCTCATTGTCTTTGCTGGGGTGGCATGGGTGGCATGGGTGGCATGAATTTTCTGGGGTGGTTCAGGATCCTACTTTCCAAGGTTGGTGCCTTCCTCTTGCGGCAGTTGAGGGGGTGCCATGAATCCTCTGTGTCTGCTGTGGGCGTTGGTCAGGATCTTAGTTTCCTGGACCGGTTTGGCGCTTTCATGTTGTCTCAAAGCACAGGCCGATGGCCCTCCATGGTTTTGTGCCCCAAGGTTAGGAGTGCCCCAAGGGTGATGGGGATGTGAGCGGCTGGGATGATGCTCGCATAGATGGGTAGCTTCCAGCCAGATTCAAAGCCCACCAGAGATGGACAATTTCCGTGGGCTGATTTTGACCTCGGACTCTGGATGTGTGCACAGGTGACGTGCATCCGATCCTGGGAAACCCGATCCTTTCGGGACAGACAGACTTTCGGATTTCCTTGGTTTTGGAATGGTTGGACCATCGCAGACAGTATTGCCAACCTACCCACATAGACCATCTCAACAGGTGGAGCAGTTCTCCTTCAAATGCTCCCTTTACTTTCAAGAGGGGCACACAATTCAGATACTACTACCTGCATTCCCATCTAAGATCTTTATGTATGTTATCGCATTGTTTGTGGGGTTGTCAAACAGATGACCCCTTTCAAGACATTGCTGACATGTAGCATCCCCTGTAAAGCTGATCCAATCGATTTTGTATATTTGCCACGGAAGGGTCGGTCAAATCCGGATTGTTTATGATGCATTTGGGAAGGACATGGGGGACTCACTTAATTTCAGCCACAACCACGACTGAAACTCACAAGTTCTTTGATGTCTTCCAGGCAATCGGGTGGTTTACCCGCAGTCAAGACACAGGTATATATACATATATATATATATACATGTGTGATTCTTTGCCATGGTGTTGCAGATATCATTGGTACCACCGGGAATTCCATTCAAGGTCGTGCTTTCCTTTCAATGCAATTGGGGACTTCCGCGCCCCTTTTCCTCTTTGTCACATGTTTCGCATGGGAACGTTGGTGTCCCTTGGGGCCAAATTGGTTGAAGATAGATGGCTTCCACTGGTTTCAGTTTGGTTCCCTTCCATTTAGCAATTGGAATCCATCATTTTCGCTGGGGCTTAACATTTTAACATATTATATATTGGACATGACGGTTGGCTTCCCAGCTTTCAAAGAGTTTCACTTTCAGTTGGGTCACATGTCTTCCATTCGCCTCCTCCCACTCCGCCTCCCCTTGTGTTTCCCCCAAGCAAGACCGCACTAAAGCCTTACGGCCTGATTTGGAGCGGGTTTGAATCCCACGACTTTTCCCGAGTTTTGATATCATGTCCGTCACATGTTCTCTCGGGGACCGAAGCTTGAGGCCACTTGTGATACCAAGGGAACCTCCTTTAAAGTGACACAAATCGCAATAGGGATGGGAATCTACCACTTTATCACAGAAAGGGCGACTTCCTGTTTCCCTTCGAAGTGCCCAGGTCGGCTTTGAGCATGTTTTTCTAGCATGTTTCTAGCCCAGGTCTGCCCGCTTTTCAGCATGTGTTTTTTTTCTATTTCTTTTTTAAATGCTGGCCCCCCGGACGAAAGGATCGTGGTCAAGTCCTGGCATATCCACGTCTCCATGCGCGCGGCCGTGATGATCTGCGACGCCCTGCTGCCAGCTGCTTGCCGAGAACTCCGCATTGCCTCCCCGACCGACCGACCGACCGTGGGAGGCTGGGGTGAGTTCATTTGAGCCACAATAAAAACCCGGGTAGATGAAGGTTAGTAAGGGACAATCCCAACCATAAGTAGCTGCGGCCGCCTTTTTGATTCTCTACATGGTTTTGGGTCGACCATTTTTAATTCCGGGTTTTGATTAATTTGCCAAGAGCCAATCAAAGCGTTTGGTTACAGGAATATCTACAAGAAATCACCCCCAAAAACCCCACATGAGCGGTTTTCCTACAGAGTTTCCTGTAACCCAACCCTTTGAGCCAAGTGCAGGGAATGGCGGCTTTTTTTCTGTTGTTCTTTTGTCTTTCATGGGGGCGGCTGGCGAGGATACAACGTGTTGTTTCATTGAATGAAAGAAGAGTGGGAAGCCAAGCTCGAAAGAAGAATGCCTCGCTGTTGTCTAGTTATTTTTTTTTACGTACCGCTTCACGTTTGGTTGGTGTGAGGGCGAACCAGGAAAGCCAATCGGTGTGCAGGTCGCCTGAAACCAAGCAGTTTCCGCAAGGTGGGAGGAGGGCGCAAAGTGGGTTTTGCTTTACGTATTTTTCGATACCAATAATCAAACAGGCAACCCCACAAAAGATCCATCTTTTTTTTTCAGGGATGGGGATGGAACCACGCGCCTTTTCTAGGTGAGCTACAAGTAAAGGCTTGCTATCACCATTTGCTGGTTTGGATTGTTTGCTTTTGTTTGGCTCTGATTGGTGTATTTGGCTTGGTGTTGGTTTGGCAAGCAAGGCTTTTGTTTTCCTCATTTTCGGAAGCACACACGGCCTAAACCATGGCTTTTGGCAAGCTCTAGCAGCGCGTTTAGCAGCATAGGGAGTCTCACAAGTGGTAAGGGCCCCCGTATGAGGTTCGGTCGCACTTTCCTGATGTGTTTGTGGTCCACTTGGGAGGGACAGGGGGAGGGGGCACTCACTAAATTTCGACCACAAAGTCCAGATGTCTCACTCATTTGTCAATGTGCTCTTGGGGAACAAGTCATTTTTACTGCGCGATTCATGCTAAGGTTCACTAAATATTCAGCGTATCATGTTCCCATAGGATGGGATCAGAATCAACTAACATATGAGTACCCGACAATATTATTGAATGACTGCGCGGTATGCGGCGCGACATCACTTAGCTCATAATCGCCAAAACTCTTTTTTTTTAAATGAAAACGGATGGGGGCCGACCCAAGACCGATGTTTTTATAAGAGCAAACACTTGCAATGCTACATGTTGTGTCCCAGAAGCTTTCTGGTTCTTGTAATCTGGTTGAAGCCGTGGCAGAGTGGACCCCAATGATGTATTCGGGAAGTACATAAGTAATATCGTCCGACACTCATACCATTTTCCCGGGTGATTTGGTTCCTGATATGGACCAGAATTGAACTCCTTTTTTAACTGAGGGCGGGAGCTGAGGTAGTGTTGACTCAGGTTGAGACTGTTGCATGTAGACCTGTCGGTAGGAATGGGAACCCTGGACTTGCAAGTCCGGCCAACACCCAGGTGTCTGAGTTTGGTTGCCAAAGCTTTCTGCCAAGGAGTTTTGATTGTGCCAAATCACTGGGGGCCGAAGGCTCTTTCGTCAGAAGACACCCATTGCTGTGGATCTGGATGCGCTCTTTCGTTGGAAGGAGTACCACTTTTGAAGCCATCCCCAATCTGATTGGTACCCCCCACACCTGGACCCAAGGTGGCGGATGTCGGAGGCGAAGCGAAGTTCGAGAGCCGAAGGGGCTTCAAGCTTTGACCGTAGTTCTACCTGGTTGAAGCTGGGGGTAGCATGTTGGAAGGGCTATGAATTGAAAGGGTTGTAGCCTTTTTGGTAGCGAATGGCAAGGGAATGTCAAAGGGTTTTGGGTGCTCCTTTGGCTGAGTTAAAGGGGGAGACTTCGTTGGTGGACATACATCTCCATGGACATGATTGCCCACCATGCCATATCATACGTATTCGGCGTGGATAAAGACCATCGATCAAGCAGTTTCACGTGCAGAGGGTCAACGTCCAGACAATAGGTGTTCTTTCGTTTTGTGTTTTACCTGCCATGCGATCCTTTTAGAGGGCGCACCTGTGTCGAACCTGCCGCAACATTTGCATGTAGAGATGGACATCAACCGCTGTGTTGAGGAAACACCACTATGAGGGTGCCTGTTGAGGGCAACCGTGACATTTTTCTCACTTGCACATAAAACGGCCCTCCGCAGCTTTGCTCTTGCTAGAGGAACACAAGAACCTGCATGCGTGAAAGGATTCGAATTTATCAGGGTTCCATTTTGAGAAAATAAAAAAAAAGTTGCGCAGAGAGACGAGCACAGAAGGTTTTGCAAAGTTCGCTGGAGCTGTTTGTTTTCGCGGAAGTTTTTGCCATGGCAGACAAACAGTTTGGAGCTTCTTTTTGGGCCATTCCATCCAGGATGTGAGTCTTCCCACATTTCTATGTTTTGGGCTTGTGGCGTTTTTGAACGAAGCCTCGGAGTCCGTTTGATGCGGCTGGTGCAGGCCGGCTTACGTCGGCCCTGTCCACTTCCTGCTCGGGCATAGACATGCCGCTCGGACGATACGATCGAATGATTGCTCTTCTCGGGATCTGTTGGAGAAACCTTCCACCAGCATGGTCTCCGTCACCCCTCCGCAGGTCAACAAAAGCATATGAAAAGGATTTTTCTAGCAACAGGCAAGGCCCATTCCAGGAGCGTGGTAAATCGGCCACGGGGAGTTTTCTTTTCCCAGGTATTGCCTGCGGGGAGAGCTGGTTTACTCCCCACTCCCCACCGGGAATCCGGCAAATGTTTGGTCCACATCTGCGGTAAGATGGTTCCATCCCAGGTCACCAGGTGAGCGCCCAAACCAGGGCCATGTCAGCTGGTTCTTGCGTTTACGCTGGCCATAGCTCGGGCCATGTAAGCCAAAGGGTTCTGCACATATTGCCAGCTTACATGGACCGGGGGAAAATCGAGCTCACCGTCATGGTGGTCCTCTGCTTTGTCTTTCTTTTGGCAACGATTTAAGCCTGCCTTTTTGTGCAGATGGGTTTCGAGCGCTCAGGTGGCGCTACGTCCACGACGATGGAGGATTGACCTGGTTTTCCAAGAACTTCGTCTACTATGAGGGCGACTATCGCATTGTTCGCTACAACGCAGGCGGCGTGTTGAAAAGTTGTCAGCTGACAGCTCTTGTTACTTTTCTCGAAAACCTCAACACGACAATTTAAAGAGGGATTGTATGCATTTATATTGAACCCCTGGGATGAACCCGCGTTTATTGAGCAATTAGTCGTGAATCGGTCTTTTAGCACTGCGCTCAAAGAAGACTCACTTTGAGTTGGGCCTTACCAAAAGTTGAATGCTAAGACTCCTTTGCCTAACGCCAAAAAAGAACGAGCACGTTCCCACGAAGTTTGTGTCCTTGCGCGGCGGGATTTAGGCCATGTCTTTCTGAGCATCCTGAGATCAGCGGGGTTGAGAGGGCTATGATTTGGGATCAACTGATGCTACCGAAACTGCAGCTGGCCCAACCATCTGGAAATGGGGCTGGGACAAGGAATTGTATGGCGCCACCCGGGTTGGGATTTCTTGCTTTAAAAGGGGGGCTACCCAAAAAATAGATAAAACACAAAGTTGTCTGCCTCTATTTTCCTTCTCCGACCGAATTGTCTTGGATTAAAGGCAACACGTCCCAGCCTGAAGCCAGGGTTGGGCCATGGTTTCAACTGCCAGATCCTGCATTTGTTAAGCGGAAGCAAATGGAGGAAGTCTTGTTTAAGAATGGCTATGATCTCAAAATGAGGGGACTGAGGGGACCCCCCCAAAAAAAGAAAAGAAGCAAAGTGAACAAACAAACACTGATTTCCTCAACGCGCCAAAAGGCGGCCCTGAAACATCAGGACGTTGAAATGGGCGTGCAATTTGGTTTCAACCAGGTCGAATCTGTCTGTTTCCTCGTCGAAGGCAATACCTTGACCTACAGCTCCAGCTGGCGAACGCACATGGAGTCGGTGCATGCGGACCCCCACTCCGGGCAGATCTACCACCTCCGGCTTTCTGGCTGCAGCCTTCGGTTCTCCGAGCTTCCGGGTGATGTTTGCATTGTTTCTCTAACACCACCCTAAAACGGATATCCTCAACAAACGACGCGCCCATATGTTCAGCTGGAGAATTGCTTCCATGTTTATGACTGAATCGTAATCCTCTGCACACATTTAAATGAGCCCACCGATTCAGGGGGAAGACGAGCGACTTGCCCATGGAGACTCGAACATTTTCCAGTTGGTGAGTTGCATCATTTTGCCCAGAAACTTGGGTAGTTTAGTAGTGGATTATGGATAGCCGTATTGAAACGGTCTCTCCGAATCGTTCCAAACCAACGTTTGGGTATATGGGTACAAGGGGCCCATTTGTCCTTTTGGGGGCAGCACAATTTCTACCCTTGCGTTTGACAGCTGGATCTCCCGAGTCCCGCTGTCCAGCGCCCCAAACTCCCAAAGTGCCGTTTTAGGCGGTTCTAGGGCTAGTGCAACACCTGTATCACCATCTCGCCCGCTTCGCGTCAGCTCTGGTTTGGGCTCGGCGGAAGGTCGGTGCTTGGGGCCCTTCGGAGACCTTCGGAGGGCTTTCAAGTCAGAACTCCGGGCCATGAGTGGCGGAACCTCCGTGAGTTTTTTTTTTTCTCAACAGACGCGTGTGTGGGTTGGTCTGCCCCGAGGTTTTTTTGTTTTGCCTTTGGTCTGAATGCAACAAAAGGTGTTTTCAGAATCGGTGTTTTCAGAATCGCATGGAGCCGTGGAGTTGCTTGGGGCACGTGCCCAGGACGCAGGTGAGTTGTTGATTCCGGCCCCCAGAAACAATCACACCGAGGCCAAGGGGCTTTGCGCCTTTTGATTGGTTGGTTTCCACCCTCCCTCTTCGGTTCTTTGGCGATGACCGGACTGCAGTGGAACACCTTTTGGTTTTCCTAGTGGATCCGAGTTTTCAAGCACGGCTTACCCTGCATTTGGTTTGCAAATGTGAAGGGGCAGGTCGCCCTTTGCGCTTCTCTCGCGGGCCCATTCCTTACAAGACTCTGCCCGAACTCTGCCGCTTCACCATCCAAGCGGATAGTGGCTAAGGGCCTGCTGGTTCCCCCCCCCCCCTGACACTTAAAAGTTCCCAGCAAGGTGCACGTTCATTTTCTTGAAGAGGGGGACAGCCACGTGTGCCGGGTTGGCCGTCAGCCCTTTGACCCACAGTTTTGACCATGGCATGAAGATATCCGACAGGAACTCCGGGGGCGGCAACTTGGCCTCCTACCAGACCTTCCGGCAGCTTGGGCTGAAGTTTGCACCACTCCGGCCCAGTTTTTACGACGAGCTCACCGGCTGGGATACAACGAGCGATTCCACCGGCCCATGAAATTCAGGGGGCCTTCGAATCCTTCCTTTGCCGGTTTGTGAATCGCAGTAGCTTAGCTTCAAGTCTCCCGGGCTTTCATTTCATGCCGGTTCGGGTGGAGTTTCTTTTTGGTGGTGAAGTTTGACTCGCACACGGAAGAAGCCGCAATATTGAGGGCCTGCCCGTCCGAGTGGGAAGGCGAACATGCTTCCCTTGCGCAATACGAGTGCTGAGCCCTTGTGTTCTCGCATGGTTCGTGGGTGACCACCTTTTAGGTCGGCCGCTTCTTGTTTTGTGACTCAAATGTTGCAACCTCTCCATATCCAATGGTCGAGCCAGGCCACTGGGTAGCTGGGCATGTGATTGTCCCCTTTATAGCTGCTCTTCGTGTTTCCTTTTCAATCTGTCGATATCAAGCTTTTGTTTCACGCTCTTCCGACATGTGTTTACAGAGTTGCCCTGCCGAGAGATCCATCGCGGGAGTGGCATTCTGAGCCGAAGCCAGGTGCCTCAATTTGTGGACCTGGTTGTGGACATGTGGGTTTTTGGGGGCCACTTTCTGGAATGTCAAGGGAATCTTCTTGAAAGCGATGAAAGCAGTCATGCGGATGGGAATCAACCACTTTGGTATCCAAATAAGCGCAACCATTGCTTGCGAGGATAATTCATTTTGCCCGGGGCTCATTCCCGAAGCGTGTTTCTCAGCACATCATATATTTTCTACAAGGGCAGAGAATTGCCGGTGGGCGCTTGAAATCATTCATGACCGGCTCTCCACCGTTCCTTGGAGTAACCCTGAAGGCACAAAGAAAGAGTGGGCTGGGAATGTTGACGTGGCTGCGTGAATGCTGTACCCTGTTCGGCTGCTGACGTTCAAGAGCTTCTTTGTTTTTTGAGTCTTGTTTCAATCTTGCTGAACCCTTTGCGCAGCTTCTGCCTGTGCGGCACCGGAGGTTGAGCTTTCCCCAGTGGCGCGGCAAGATACGGCGATCTCAAAATGGTGGATACCAAAAGAAATAGCAGGGTACCCTCAATCAGATACGATGCATCGATACCCCCTTCATCAGCTTGCGACTAATTGGTGGTTTGGATTGGGGAGTGGTTTCCTATTTATCGTCTACCAGAACCAGAACCAGGGGTTCAAACTTCAACTCCAGCTCCAAGCCATTAATCACCACCAATTGAGAAGCTGACATTTAATTGGTTGACCCACCTCCCCAAAAGAAACCAGGATACTTTCAATAAAACACAATGCATCAATGCCCCCTTCAAGTGGTCGAGCTTTATTTGAAGCAACCGCTTTGTTTGAAGCAACCCTGAGCGACCTGAGCGGCCCGTAGGTACGTGAGCTGCTTGAGCAGCAGCCTGGGCCGCAAGAGCACCGTGCGGCTGTCGCAGGATATCTCGATGAACTGGCGCCTCGGTAAAGATCCAGCGGGTGGCCTAGCCCGGTTCCCTACATGGCTGTGGTTGTCAAAACCAATGGGTTTCCATTTTTACCATTTTGGGGTAGGTGAATGCACCACCCATTTTCGAACCTATGTTAGTGGGGACTGGGATGTTCACTGGGGGTACGGGATGTTGACCCATGGCCACATGGGGCGGTGTCCGTTTTTGAGGCCCCCCCCCCAAATCCCCAAGTGGCTTCAGCAGCCCCGGTGATTAAAAACAAAGACGGACCCAGAATCCCTTCCTCCTAATAGTGAAGGTCCCCCTACGATAATATTTTGTTTTGAGAATTCCAAATCCGGGGAATACTACCTTTGGAATAGGCCAATACTAAACCAATTCTAAAGTGGGTATTTTCCTGCCCGTACTCAAATCCAGACTCTTTTGTACCTTTAATCCTGCAAAGGAACCCATTGTCGGAGCTCCGGGAGTGCGTGTCCTTTAGTAGGCGTGTTGGGAGTGAGTTTCCTTTTCGGCGGGCTCCGAAAACGAAGAGGGGACCCCCGAACAATAAAAATGTTTCTCCTCGGGGGAACAGCGAATTATTAGGGGCACTGTTCTGGGGACAGGATGATTTTTCTTCCTGCAGCGGCCTTAAGGCCTTTGGCGGAATTGCATGGGGGGAAAGGGGGGTGAATGCCCTTCAGCGGTCGAAGCCATGAAACCCTCGTGTAGTCAATTTGGGGTTATTTTTTGTGGTTGTAACCCAGGATTTAGGCTGGAAGACCCAGGCTCCCGCACAACCGGAACAGCTTGTTAGTTCTGAGCAACTTTAGGGCCAATCGCCAGTCCCAACCTGGGCAACGTAACGAAACCTGGGCCCTCATCTTTATTGTAGCTCTCCAGTTGGGCGCGCACCCACACAGGTGTGCTTGCGCTCTTCTTAAGTTATTGGGGGCTGCTGATTCTGGGGTAGGGAGTCAGGCCGAAGCGTCCAAGCACAAAGCTTTGCCAGCAAAAGATGGCCCGATGCAGCCGAGACCAAGTTTGGCTTGGTTGAGATGGGGGACAGGGGTGTTGCAGCTGCAAGATTCCAAGAGCTGCTTCCATTTCCATTCTTCCAGGGATCCGAATCTTTCTAGAAAACCACCCAAAGCCCTGGGAAAACGGATCCGGGTTTTGAAAAGAAGGATGGTTGAAAAGAATGGTGATTGCCGTCAGTTTGGGCATCTTCAGAAGATGAGGTGTCCGGACATGTGGCTATGGATCAAAACCCCGTACCCCCAGTGAACATCCCAATCCCCACTAAAATAGACTAAAATGGGTGGTGCACCCACCCCAAAATGGGATCCCATTGGTGTTGACCCACGGCCATGTTGTGGAACCATGCTCCTACTCTGTGGCGACAGGCTTCCTGCCAGCTGTTCGGCAGCCTCCTGACTCCCTTCTTGTTGGTGGGTTCCTCTTGCAAAATGGTCAAGCCCAGAAAGAAATGCGTATGGTTCAAAATTAAGAGCTGGGGATCTGCGGGTTTTAGTCTTTGGTTCCATTTACAAGGGTTCCATTTTGGGTACCTATTTGTGACCCACAGCCAAATGGATTCCCGTGTTAAACCGGTCTGGCCTTAGGTGGCAACTGTTGGAAGCTGAGGTATCGCGTCTTTATCGGTGATGAGGAGCTGGTGGTCTTGGACCGGAGCAACAAGTGGGTGAAGGTCAAGTTGAGCTGCTCAGGCCGTGCAGCACAAATGCTGTGTTGCATTGCGTCATGTTTGCAACAAACAGGAGTTGAAATTTGGGGGGTGAGTTCAACAACCCAAAGCAAACCTGCCATGCGGAGTGGTCTAACTTGTTTTGCCACACACTGGCATGAGTCGGAGCAAGCGGAGGCACCCACCGTGTAAGTAGAAAAGGACAAGAACTGACAATTTGTAGGCACCAGCTGCATCATGTGCTTCTGTGCAAGCTCTCCCGTCAGGGATTCATGCCCTCCCGACGCGTTCCCATGCGTATAGGCTACTCATCAGGACCTGCAGCTCCGGCAAGCTCAAAACGCCAAAAAAAACCGTCAGAAACATAATTTGTACACACCCACACCCACCCGGATCCACAACCACAGGCACATGTGCACGCACGCACCTGCACGCGCCCCCACATGCGCATGCACACGCATGCACACGCATGCACACGCATGCACACGCATGCACACGCATGCACACGCATGCACACGCATGCACACGCTCACTCACGCGCGCGCACACACTCGCACCCGCTCGCGCACGTGTTGTTGAGTGCAATGAGGTGGGCGCCTACCACTTGCAACGCAATGCAAGTTTAGCTGCCACCGCCAGCCAACCCTGCTTTTGCTTGCGATGGGCAAGCTAACTGGCTGTGCTTGCTTGAGAAAGTTTCCCCACGCACCCCTCTCCACAAGGATGTGAAGTTGCCTGCGGGGGGAGGCTGTGCACCTAGCCTGTCTGCCACCTTGCTGCCAGGCCAGGCTGCCTGTGACCCTGTGAGCAATGTCAGAAAAAGGAGAGCCTGCTTGCATGGATGGCAAGTGTTACGCGCACGCACACGCGCCTGTATACGCACGCGAGCAGGCAGGCACACGCACACGCGCATGTGCACGCACACGCCCAGGCCCATGCACACACGCACGGGCAGAGACAAGGACAGAGACAGGGACAGAGACTCTGAGACGGAGACAGGGACTCTGAGACAAGCACAAAAACAAACAGCCTGGGTTTCTGTTTTTTCTGTTTAAATCCCAGAAGTTTGAGCCACGTCGGTGACTTGCTAAGGTCAAGGCGCGTGCTGAAACAACTGGCGTGGCCAGTGGGAAACGCACAGAAAGTCTTCAATTGTTCGCAGGGTGTTAGCTGAAAACCCGCAAGCAGATAGTTTTGGAGCAGAACGCGGCGCACGCTGTGGAAGAGTGTGGCTAGTGTGATTGCCACGAATATCAAGATGAACGATGTGACTCACACGTGCTGATCAACATGTGTCCATTTGTGGACCCGACTGATGCAAGAACCAATGTTTGTTTACGGGCCCAGCTCAGTGCCCAAGTTTCACCAGAGGCCAGGCCAGCAGACCAGAGAGCCAACAAGCAAGCAAGCACGCCACAACATCGTGATAGAGCAGACGTGAATTAAATATTTACATCTCTCTTTCAAGCTCTTATGTCCTTTCTCCATATCTGCATCTCACGCGGCAGGCACTCTGAAGGTGACCACACTTGTCAACTACAACAGCTTCTCCATGTACGGCTGCGAGCGCGGGCGCCAGGGAGGCCCGGGGTAACGCTGCGCAAGTGGCCCCCTGTGCTTCATACCTTTGGGGGATCTCCAAACAGCACCTCTTTGGCACTCCCAGTACTCTTTGGCAGATGTGAGCGGGGCTGTCCCTGTTAAAAGCCAATGCTAGCGAAGGTTGTCCTTGCAAGTTGCACTCGGTATGTTTCCAGTTGGCCGTTTGATTGGTAGCTTGAGAACTTCTTCCCTGGAGGAAGAAGTGAAGAAGCTTGTGGGTGTGCAAAATAGGAGGACTCTCAAATTGTGGCTTTCCTTTTGATGTCCCTTGAAGCCCTTACACGGGCTACCCTCCAAAAACACCCACCCTTTGTGCGTGTGAACGATGAACTCTTCCAGCGGGAAAGCACTAAACCAGCTCCTCGCTGACTCGCCTTTCTCCGCTTTTTAAGTCAGGCAGCTAGGTGGTACGACTCACCCTCTCACTTGACCCTTCTGTTGCGCGATTGCCTTTCTGGCATTCAGCCCGTCGCCAACTTTAGATGTGCTTCGGGTTGCGCAGCAGACGGTTTCATGCCGCTCACTTCGACCCCTGTTCGTCAACGGCTGTTAATCCTGGGTTCCCAGGAGAGGACATCAGGCAGTCTGAGGACTTTCAGGCAATGTCGGGGTACACGAAATGAAAGTCATGACCTGGTTTTGCAGAGGTCACTTTCGCCCCCACCCGAAATCAAAATGCGGCTCCATGATGGAGGTATCTTGGAGAATGATGGCCAGAACTACTGGATTATCTACATGTGCCTGGGTTGGAACGCAAAAGTTGGTGCTTGTGGAGTTTCCGAAAGGAACCACAAGAGGATGTTGGGTGTTTTTCTTCCTGACCGCCGGACTAGCGGGAGGTGAATTCCAAAGCGACGCACTGACAACGTACAACATTTGACCCACAGGATAGGGAGATGACATCAGTCCCCAAGTTTCCACGCGAAGAAAGTTTGAGCTCTGAAGATTACTTGGGACCAATTCCAAGTGTGTTTGCATGTAACGTGGGTCGATAGTTGATGTATACCTTATTCAACTGTTTGCAAATGGCTGTGTTTGCATAGGGACGATCCCCGACGGGGAAGTTTCCTCTTGGTTCCCTTTTAATCTGTCAAGCAGAGGGCTCCCATTTTGAGACATATCTACATGGTACCCTTCGGGTAAAGGGGCTGAATACTTATACACATGCTTCTCCCATGATCATGATGAAATTTGTTTTGGAGCGCCCTTATTTGTGGTTTGCGGGTAGTGGCAACCATCTTGAAAACATGTAACTCGCCGTTCTCATATTGAGGCACCCCTGACCAGCGAGGGCCAGTTTTTTCGCATGCTCCCTTGAACATTGGGACGGGACCTGCCACCCAAAAGGCTTGGCTCTACGTGTGTGCATCTGGTTTTCCCCTTCACACCCGAGGCCTCCCCCTGCCATAGGTAGAACGTTCCGCCAGAAAGGTGTTTTTTGTGGGGGTGTGTCTTAGTGTGATAGCCCAACACACCGAGAAATCACAAACCAGCAAATCAACTCACTAGCAGAAACAAACGCAAACAGACAAGCGCAGATTTCACAAGGACCATTCAAATCAAACTTATCAGCGGCTTAAAACGGGACCCCACTTATTGGGAACTCACCATATGGGTCATGGCCGAATCACCTGCTTCGGGTTGGTATGGACTCTATGACGACTCTCGTCGGTGTTTTTCCATGCAAGGACATCCCCTAAGGACACCAGCCTGTCAGGAACTTGGCCCGCTGACCGGTAGGAATTCATAGGCCTACAAGGGCAATGAATTTCAACAGTATTATTTTCTTTAAAGAAAAACACACACGTCGCGAAGCTTGTCGTAGACCGAGCAATGTGTCTTGAAGAACGCGTGCGCAGTATTCTGGCGGAGATCAAGTGGAGAGTCTCCAAAAGGAACACCCTAAAGCTCCCCGATTCTGGGGTAAAGCCCCTCTCTTTCCACTTCTTGTCTTTGTTCGTGCTTTGCACATCTTTCTGGTATTTTCTGGTTTTCTGGCCGTTGGCCTCCCTCTCAAGCACACCCAAAACGGGGAAGTGTCCTCCAAGGGTTTGTTCTTTTTCTGCGCCGCGCCGAGGCGTGGGTACGCGTACCGCCGCGCCATCAGCGGCCCGGCCACGAACCAAGAGACGCGCATCTCCGGGTACACCGGGGACAGCTGCTCCGTGACGGTGGACTACGTGCGGAACCGCTGGTACTGGCACCGGGACCGGGGGGGATGGATCTTTTTCACCGAAAACACGGGGGCGCGTGTGACAGGAGGTTTTGTGTGGAAGGGGCGGGCGACGGAAGGGGGTGGCATGGGGCGACAAAAAAGGGGTGGGGGGGGATGCCTGAGGGCTGGAGGGAAAGGAGTCCCCACTGAGATTTTAGGGATTCCTCTTTCAGGAGAGGCCTTTTTCGACAGGAGGTTCTCAGAACCGCTTCTGAGGACCGAGCTTTCCGGGAAGACTCTTTGGTAAACAAATGTTGGTGGGGTGGGATGCCCCGAGCCGAAGCTTGTGAACTTTGGAATGCGGAGAGGATGCACCACACAGCAGAAAGGTTAACCAGGTTGAAGGGCCAAACTGGGGCCATGTGGATGTGGCTCAAAATTATCCAGGAGGGGTTACGCAGGTTTTGGTCCATGTTTCCACTTGCCAGGGTTCCATTTTGGTACCGTTTTTTTGAGCCACAGCCATGTGTGAGAATTGTAGACATTGCAGACTTTTTGCAAGCATTTTTCAGGAGGGAGGGCACCACCATGAAGGGGTCTATACCTGCCCTGCGACCTTCGGGGGCGTTGCCATCCAGGCGGGCGATCGAAGATCAACATCCGTTTGGGTGGGACGTCGGATGCGGTCTCCTTTTGCTAACATTTGGTTTCCAGGGCTTTTTGAGCAGCCCCCATGCTGGTGGTTTGCTCTTCGGTCTCCCTTTGAAACAGGTTAGGCGGAGCACCCATATGGGTGTGGTTTCAACTAGGAAGTCATGCTGGTTTCTCATTTGGTTTCTTTGAACCCATCACTACGGAAAGGCAATCTACCCGGCCCATATTCCTACCCTCAGTGAGAAATGAATGAGAACCCTTTGATCAGAACCCTTCGATCAGATCTCATGCGATGGACAGTATCCACAAACGGGGAGCACCGCCCAAAGCAATCTGTCATTTGTTCCGTTGCTCGCATGCGCGTGTCCCTTTTCTCGGGCACGCTGTTGGGGTTGTCTTTCTGGAAATCCGAAGGGACACCGACGCAATTGAAGGTTCCCAATTTTAAGGAGACAAATCCATCGAAGAAAAAAAAAAAAAAAAAAACAGTAGCCGGCAGGATTGAAACCTGGCGGATTGAGAAATCTGGGTCGTGCCAGGTTCCTTTTGTCGGGTTCCCCCATCCCAAAACGCTCAGGCCGGTCCCATTCTCCCACCGGTGTCACTCGTATATATATATATATAATATATATAATACGTACGCAAATTACAAGAGTTGTTGATTTATCAAACAGGAAGATCACAGATCACTTTGCCCCAAGAAGCCGAAGGAAGCTGGGATGTGCCAGGGGCGCATATCTCCTTGGCATTGAGGGCTTACCTCCAGACTCTGTAACGGGGGATCCGACATTGGGGTTCTCCTTGTAGTTTTTTAAACGCATTCAGACATGCAGCACTGAGTTTGGCTGGGAAACTTTCTCAGCAATGGTGGATGGACAAACCCCCCCCCTTGTCACAAAAAGTCCCCACGGCAAAATCGCGGCCCTTGGAGTCACACGCCTCAGTCGGAAGACAAGCAGTACGACCTTATCTCCGACAATGGCGGCACACGCCTCTACTCTGTGCCGATGCCCAGCAATGTCTACTCCCACTACCTCGGCAACTGGCGGGCAGATCGGCGGCAAAGGGACTGAGATGTGTTCCGGGGCAGGGCGGGCGAACCTTCCAAATTGTGATTCCGTCCAAGAACCAGGCCCAAATGGCCGTATTCAGAAGACCCCTTTACTTGGTGCTGGTTAGGGGCAGTCATCGACATGAACCCTGGAGGGATTTTGGAACCATTGCAAGGATTAAGGTGATCATCGTTGGACCAACGGAGTGCGCCCTAGGTAGCTTGCCCTTAGGCGAACGCGCTCAATCAAGCAGTTTGAGGTTGTTGTCACGGTCAAAAACCCGGTTACTTGGTGGATGACAGGTGTGGTTATCCCCTCAGTTGAAGATTGGGACTTGCACTTGGCATCACCTTGCACTCCACGAGGTTGCATGAGATTCGCATGGTGCGCTTTGTTTTTTTTTTTGAGGCGACCTTCCGCATCACCAACTTCCATCGGAAGTGCCCTGCCGGGTGGCAGTACTACAACCGGAACTGCTACAGATACATGGGCTGGGGCAACTTCCGAAGCCCGGAGCCCCGGAGACCCGGAGACCCGGGAGCTGGGGCCGGGTTTAAGGTTTTAGGGGCCAGCCCCTTTGAGATGATCTGGTGGGCAGGGTGAGCCAAACCAAACCCATGGGAAAGGGATTCACCTGGTCATTTGGGAGGTGATCACAGAAAGGGTGGATTTTTTTGCACAAGTAATGCGGAGACAGATCCATGTCTTGCGGAGTCAACACTCCTGGCAACGGGAGCCCCATCCAAACGTGCGGCCATCTTGGAAGGGGTCTGTGAGCCACACTTGCTTATGGCAGAGCAGCATGAGCACGTTACAGTCTAGCCCGCCTTTCAACTGTGGAGAGAGAGACTTGTTCAGGAACCACACCTTGAGTCCCGTGTAATGTTGGCACTTGATTAATAAAGGGCCCCCCCCTGAACAATGGAGGCGCTGGAATAAAGTAGGCTCACTTTTGGGACGTCCAAACAATGGAGGATTTTGGGGCCCAATTCTACTTCAGTATTGCAGCCACTTTCTTTTTGCAATTCTACTTTAGTATTGCAGCCACTTCCTTTTTGCAATTCCAATTCTACTTTAGTATTGCAGCCACTTCCTTTTTTGCAATTCTACTTTAGTATTGCAGCCACTTCCTTTTTGCAATTCGTATTGCAGCCACTTCCTTTTTGCAATTCTGGGTTTAAGCAAGTGGGCCACCCATTGAAAGGGGATGCTTTGGAGCAAGTGGGCCACCAATTGAAAGGGGAATGCTTTTGAGTAAAGCAACTGATAGTTTATTTTCTGGGAGGGGGGCTGGGGGCTTGTAAACTAATGTGGTCCCCCAAAAGAATGCCATTGTTGTGGTTCAGCGGGGTCTGTGAGGGGTACCCTTGTCCTGATTGTTTTTTTTTGCATCTTTTGAACACGGTTTAATAAAGAATTTGCAGTTTCAGGGTTTGGGATGGCTTTCAAATTTCAGAGGTTTCAGCTGGCTTTGGGTTTTGCATTTGAGCAACCAATTCAAGGGATAATGCTTTTAAGCAAGTGGGCACCAATTGAAAGGGGATGCTTTGAAGCAAGTGGGCCACCAATTGAAAGGGGAATGCTTTTAAGCAAGTGGGCCACCAATTGAAACGGGAATGCTTTTGGGTGATTGTTTGGGGGGGATGGTTTTTTAAATCACAATTGATTTGTGGATTTTTTTATTTCCCCCCCCCCCCCCGGGCAAAAAACACTTTCAGTTATTCTGGTCCCCATCAACAATGGTTGCAGACCAGAATAGGGAAACAAACTTTGAGTTATTGCACGACCCCTGATTAGTCGGGTGTTAACATTACCATCGTCGACTCCCCATTCGCGTTGACATTTTGTCCAAAGAGGTCTTTCCGTGGTTTTCTAAGGCTGCTTCTTATGCTTCTTCTAGGGCTTCTGCCTCCTCCAAAGGTGTTCAACCATCTAGCGGCGTTTCTCGCTCAGGGGTTGCAATTGCACATTGGGCGTGCAGAAGCCCCCACAATGGCTTTCGTCTGGGATTCCTGTCCGACATGGGAGAAACGGGATGAATGGGCGGGGCCCCCTTTTTGCTCAGTCCTTCTGGGCATTGCTATGCGTCGATCCCCCTTTCCCTGGTCGGTGTTTCAAAGAGGTTTCCTTGGCCGCCTCGCGGCCGCCACGGCTCTTTTCGATGGCGGGTCGTCCGGCCTAGGTGCGGAAAGCACCTGCAACTCGAACCAGGCACATGTCTTTGCCCCGGAGAGCGATGCGGAGTATGACTGGGTGGACATGAATGTTCCCGTGCCACACAGCCGCCTGGAAGAAGCGGGAGCAGTCAATCATCGTTGTATGGGCCCCTAGGGGGTGAGATAGCAACCCTGCTTGTTGGGTCCCATTGCTATGTTGCCTCCGGATAAATCAGCGTCAGGGTGATTGAAACATCGCCTTTTGGAAACGCCGTTGGAAGGTCAGCATCCTTTTGCTTGCAAGATATCAGGGGACAAGGAACCTGGGAAAAGAGCAATGAGGCTCAGGGGTCGGAGTCTTGGCGAGAGAAGTTGTTTGCCTCTGTGCGTTTGTGCCAACATGGGGGAACCCCAAAAAGGGTGCTTGACCTTGTGGTTTGCCTTCAATTTTTGAGGGTCCCAAAGGGGACCCTCAGAAACAAACGCGTACACTCACACGCACACGCACACGCACGCGCGCACCCGCAAACACCCGCAAAACTCCACAAATACCCACAAATGCCAACAAACACCCACAAATAGCCACAAAATACCCACACATACCTACACATGCCCACACCCACACACACACACCCACACGCACACACAGACAAACACAGACACACACACACACAGAGATACGCACACAGACACGCACACAGACACACGCACACGCACACACACACACACAGATACACAGACACACAGACACAGAGACACGGACCCGCACCCGCACCCGCACCCGCACCCGCACCCGCACACGCGCACGCGCACGCACACGCACACGCACACGCACACGCATACGCACACGCACACGCGCACGCCCACGCCCACGCCCACGCACACGCGCACGCGCACGCGCACGCGCACGCGCACGCGCACACGCGCACGCACACGCACACGCACACCCACACACACACACCCACACACACACACACCCACACACCCACACCCACACCCACACGCACACGCACACGCACACGCACACGCACACGCGCACGCACTCGCACACGCGCACGCGCACGCACACGCACACGCACACGCACACGCACACGCACACGCACACGCGCACGCGCACGCACACGCACACGCACACGCACACGCACACGCACACGCACACGCACACGCACACGCACACGCACACGCACACGCACACACACGCACACGCACACGCACACGCACACGCACACGCACACGCACACGCACGCGCACGCGCACGCGCACGCGCACCCACCCACACACACACACAGCCTGCGCACACAGGCTGCGCATGCGCACATGCGCGCACGCGCACACGCGCATACGCGCGCACGCGCGCACGCGCGAACGCGTGCACGCGCCCAGGCGCACACGCGCACACGTGCGCACGCGCTCACGCGCACACGCGCGCACGCGCACATGTGCACACGCACGCACGCGCACACGTGCACAAGTGCGCACGCACACGGGCACGCGCGCACGCGCACGCGCGCACGACAGCACACACGGAGACACACCCACACAACACAAGCACGCCCACGCACCGCACAAACACACAAGACACACACACACAGGCAACCTGCACACATACACAAGGCAACATGACACACACACAAAACGCACACACACACAACACACACTTGAACTCCAGATGGAGAGTGCTAATCTTTCGAGTACAACTGATGAGTTTCGAGTACAACTGATGAGTCTCGAGTATGGTGAGCTTCGACTTGCACATCACTCAGCTTCACTCTAGTTACTTGAACAGGGGCAAACAAAAGCAACGGCGGTTCAGGGGGGGGACCAAAAGGACATTCACAAACATCACAATTGCAGGTACGTCCAACGGCGTCCCGTTGGATTTCACCAGCAAAGAAGGGCGTCTTCATTGGCGCAGGTCCCTTCAATGCTGCCCGCGCCCCCTGCTGCAGCGGAAAAAGGTTTTGGTGGCAGGGTATTCTGCCACTCCGCACACACACACGCCCCTCAATGAGGGGCGAGGTTTCTCTTTTTCTGCAGGAAGATCACATGCTCCAACCCGAGTCTCTATCGTTGACCAAAATATCCACCACGGCGAGGGGAGCGAGACACAGCCCTAAACCGCTCAGAAGACGGGAACGAGAGATCACCACGTTGAGCGTTACGAGTGTCACCATAGAGGACTGAAGCGAGTTGCGAAGCAGCCTGGCGATCACCATGGGAAAACGGGGTGGCGTAGGTGAACGTCTCCTCGATTGGAACGGCATCGGAGTTCCGAACTTGAGCAAGAGGTTGATCATGCGGATAATGAGTTGCGAAGGACTCCATCCGAGACAGAATACGCTGGTATCCCTGATGCTGCCAGTCGCGGATGTCCCACGCCTGGACAGGCTCATTGGGATCAGTCACCCGCTGCCATTCTCGAAAAGAATTTTCAGGTAGATCAGGTACAGTGTCACCGCGGTGCCATCGCTGAGGCTGTCCTGGAGTGTATATCCGCACCCACTCCTGTTCCTGCCAGACCGAGTATTCGAGCCATGGGTGCTGCTTCGAATCATCGATGTCCATGTCGAAGTGAGAGGCAAGGAGTGTCGCGGGCTCCGATCCAGCTGATAGAGGAACAGGCACCATGCACAACCATGTACAAGCAACAACCAAGCAAGGTCATGCAAATGTAAAGACCACCCTTATTTTGTACGCTGTGCCACCCGTGCGAGTCTAGTCCTCAGTCAGCTCGAAGATGGGACTCGCCTTGTCCTTGTCGCTGTCGGAAGGATTCACGGGCCGGTAGGGCTCGGAGACCCCAACCGTTTCCGATGGTGTGTTTCCACGCGATGCACGTACTGGTTGATGAGGTTGGGAAGCGTGACGTGCGCGAGCTGTCAGTTGTTGAGAAATCCCCTCTTGGAGACGAGTCAGTTCTTCGGTAGAGAAATCAGCCGCATCCGAGGACCTGAGAATCGCTTCTAACAGCTGCGGTGACATACTCAATGCCGCAGACTGCGTGGCCACGCTGTGATGATCAGGAAAATACATGGAATCAAATTCATGACCAGCCTGAGGGGCAGCGACTCTCCGGTAGCCCTCTGTGGCCCAGTCTCGTTTGTACCACATGGTGACTTGGACCTGCCCACCGACTGAGTCCTGGTTGGGAGCATAGAACTCCCTCCATTGTCTGTAAGTGTGCGGAGGAGGTGGAGCATCATGTTCTGCATGTGGTGTCCATGATCCCGGATGAAAGATCTTGACCCACTGGGCATCTGGTTGTTGAGGGTCCGGACACCATTCCAGCCACGCCATGACAACGCAACCCCGGAAAGACAAATTGATAGGTGTACGGCTGCAGACAACAATGAGTGAAAGCGAAACAACTGCCACAATGCAAGAAACCACTTTTGCAGCACTGCACGGCTCCGGTATCGAAGACAATCTCCCGAACCGAATTGAACT